CCGCCCAGACGCCTTCCCCGGGCTGACCTCCATCCGCCATCGGGCCAGGCCCGAGGGCTGGCCAAAGTTCCGGCAAAACCGAGAGAAACATTTTTGTCCCTACTTCTCAGCCTCCCTTTCCCCTCTTCCCACCAGACTGCTCTCTCGGTTCCGAAAGGATGCTAGAAATTACATGTTTCTGCAGTGTTTACTGAGGGGTTTGGGGGTTTGTTTTAGAGGGGAACACGAGATGAGACGAGGAAAGGTACAGCCCAAGAGCTTTCGGCTGTGGCCTTCAGGGGCGAGTAGAGCAGAGCGGTCTTCCTGGCCAGTGTTCCCAGGATAGCCAATTAACATACTGAACTCGGCCGAGCTGCTCTGTCATATTTCGAAATATCGAGAAATCCCCTGTTCTCCACCCCACCACAAGATCAGGAACTGAAATAGTCCACTGAGTCGCAGTGCATAGAATTCAGAAGACTCGAGCTTTGTCCCCCCTTTTTTTTTTTCCTTTTTGCCCATTATCGTCCATTTTATCCTGGTTTTACTACTTCGGGGTCGCCCGTATGGGGTCCACATTTGGAGCTGGCCGACTGGCAATATTCCTATGCTCATAGATTTTTTTTTTCCTCTTTTCCACCCAACTGGCCTACCAAAGGCTCACAAGCCTCTCATTCCCTCCCACTTCCAAGTTCCCTTCCTTACGCCCCCATCGCTGTGCTCCTGGGTCGTGCCCCCTCTCCCACCCCCCACCTTTCCCTCCTTCTTGACTGCCTCCTTTCCTGAACATGAATAATTCCGCAGCACTTCCCATCTGTTATTGCCATAGAGACAGAAGCTCGACAAAGATAATGATGTTCTGTGCAGAGCCAGTGGGGGGAGAACAGCATCTGCGAGTCTGGGGGATAGATTTTTCTAATCGTGAGAATATTCAGAAGGTCCTGCTGAAGATCTGATGTGGAAGACTGGACAGTCCTGAGACTTGGCATCCGGTCAACTCTGGACACCTGGCTCGTGTCTAGCGAGAAGAAACAAGTTTTAGAAACCAAAATGACAGATTTTAAAAAAAGTGATTTCAAATTGCAATTAATGACAAATGTTTAGTACTCATTTTATCAGCCATAAAAATAATTACTTGCTAGCATGTCCAAAGGCCTAAGGACCAAAATAAATTGGACAGTAAATAGACTTTTGAGAAATCAAACACATTATCCCCTCCCCTGTTCTTTTGATTTGCTTTCCCCAGGAATCTGTTTTTTGAGGGAAGGATCTTTTGTGCCTGTGATTTTGTGTACAGTGGTTTGAGATATAGTGACAGGCAAATGTGGCTAGAACTAATCAAGCTTTGAAGGCCTTTTTTTTCATTATTCATCAAAGTACCAAATGTACCAATTTAAAATTCACTTTGTCCTTGAATTTCCAAGGTCTTGGCCTCAAAGATACAGGTTTGAACGCAAGTGAAACTAAGCAGGGTAGATCTGATGCAGATAGGAAGGCTCACACTCAGCCACATTTTTGCAGGTCTACTTAAGGATTGTCAGAAATTATTAGTAAAATTAATTGTATAATATGAAATAAACACTGAAATAAATGATAGTTTCTTTATCTCAGAATTGAACAGAGAATACCTTAGAAAAAAAGAAGCACTGCAAGGTAATGAATATTGTAATTCTTACATACTGATGGTCTTCATCAGTGTTGAAAAGTCAGCTCAAGTGTTGGTTGGTAAAGAGCTATTAGATGGGTTTCTCATGGCCTCCTGCCTCACCCCCTTGGCTGCCAGCAGGAGCTGAGCAAGGCCACTGTGTGAGTGTGTGCCTGTGTGTGCCTGTAAGAATTCCAGATGATTGGGGGTGGTGACCCTACTCATTGTTTCATCTTCCAATAAGCGGTCAGGTAGAAGGTCCAAACTGACTGGTACTAGGTGGTCTAGAATTTCTTCTTCAGTAGTTATGGCCATCTGGTAATAATAGAAACCAAGAATTTAAATGTTATAAATTCCAAGACCAGTTCTGCCCTATGACCCGATAAATGGTTTGGGGCAAATGCTTTCCTCTTGTCTCCATTTACTGATCTATTGATAATGACCTACTAATATTAATTATGAAGACTGTGAAAAGGAAAGGGTAAAGTGCAAACAGTCAATGTAAATTAATTTTGTTTTTATGAAGGAGGGGGAAGAAAAGTCAAATGAATGTTAATTGGATATACAAACACTGGCTTGTGTTTTCGATTACACCTGCTCTTTTCCAAGGAAAAGAAAGCAGTTGTAGCTTGATAATTCTAGTGCCTCCTCTCCCCGCTTCCTTGATCCTCAACAAAAAAACATTTTTTTGAAATATTTTTTTAGCAGCAATTCAGATGCTACAAGGTCCTTCAATTTTACAAAAGAATCTCAGCTATTTCCCTTTCCATCTCATTTTTTTCTGTTGCTTTTAATTTATTTCTACTTATCAGAATTATGACTACGATGATGATGATGATGATGCTCTTCAACTTCCTCATAGCACTTTAATCTTTTTCCCACCTAACCTCTTCCCTGTGTACTTTACTCTCCATAGTGGTTGAATGCTACTGCCGGCCCCTGCTGGTGCAAAGTTCCTGCCCCTTGTTGACTAGGCTTTCTCTTCGGGGCTCCTCTCTCCTTTGAGCTGCCAAGTCAATACTGGATCTACAAGATCCCAACTCCCGTTTTCATGCTTTAAATAAGGTGAGAACCAGATGCTTAAAAACTATTAACCTCCTCTTCCTAAATAGTGTCACACAGCACTTCTATTTTTCAGGGTTTTTTTTTTTTTTTTTTTTTTTTTGTGAGAAGATCAGCCCTATGCTAACATCTGCCAATCCTCCTCTTTTTTTGCTGAGGAAGACTGGCCCTGGGCTAACATCCGTGCCCATCTTCCTCCACTTTATATGGGACGCTGCCACAGCATGGCTTGCCAAATGGTGCGTCGATGCGTACCCGGGATCCGAACCTGTGAACCCCGGGCCGCTGCAGTGGAGGACACACACTTAACTGCTTGCGCCACTGGCCAGCCCCTTTCAGGTTTTTAACTTGGGCTCTGTGCAATCGGAAAGAAAGTAAAAGGAAGAAAACAAAAATGAATATGCAGAAAGAGTCAAATAGAGAAAGAGGATGTTAGAAATGTTTGAATTTTGATGTTTAAATTGCAATGAACTCTAAAATCAATGTAACAGACACATTAAGTGTATTTCATTGTCAATTCTAGGAATTTCATGAGTGTTTAGAAAGTTTGGCAAAGTTTGACTTATTGAAAATCAGAAACTTTTTCTCTGTATTTTTTTTCCAGAAAAAAAAACGGGAGGAGTCATAATTAGCCCTATGATGTTGCCAGGCTATGATTCGAAACTTGCAAGTTGAGAGATGTTGTCTAATATGTACTGCTGAACTATAAGTAGCTCAAGTGCTTCACACTTTCCTATGAGATACATAGAAGAAATTCCCTTGTTAGCAAAAGAGAAGTCGAGGCAGAATTTAGATCACATGCCAAACCACTTTGCCGATCAGTGGCAGAACAGGCGTTAGAACCAAATATATTTGACCCACATCAGTGGAGTTTCCATTCTTCATTTCCTCACTCATCTTGGTACTCATTCAAATAAACTATAAGGACTGATTCAAATTAGCCAAAAAAGAGCAAATATTGAAACTTACAGAGTAGGTAGCATTGTACCAAGCATTGTGATATATTTATCACAACCCACAATAATACTTACCCTTTCTATGTGCAGTGCTTTCTGATATTTTATTCTGCTCTATTCTATTTCTTTGTATTTAAATTCACAACTAATGCATTGCAACTTACAGTGTAAGAAACAATTCATTAAAGAATAAATAATAATCAATGTTAACATTTATATAGTGTCTACTATTGCTAGGCTCTGTTCTAAACACTTTATGTACAATAACTCAGTTAATCCTCATGACAACCCTGTGAGGTAGTGGTTATTATTACCCCATTTTACAGATGAAGAAGCTGGCACAGAGTTGTACTCAAGATCACACAGCTAGATAAATCCTTCCCCTCAGATTGTGGAAAAGATTATACATGATTTTCAAGTCTGAGTTCTATGTAGGATAAATCTGGATATACAAAAATAGGATTAAACTTTATGTTATACGATTTGAGGGTCACTAAAGATTCTTCCACTGCCTTTCTGACATAGTGTTTGAAATTCTCATAAGATATTTTATTTCTATTATA